ACATTTATTTCATTATTACTACTTTTATAGCATCTGTACTGTACACATTGTTAATAGCATGGTGTTTAATGACCCTTAGTTACTTCTTTTTCTTACCTTGGGATGAAGGAGGCTGAGTTGAACTTGAATGCTTTTTCCTTTGCAGTGATCACCATGCAACAACTGTGAATGATGATTTGTACATACTAATGTCATACACAAATTAAAAGTCATGTTTAAGGTCCCATTTGATTTTTTCATGTATGTTGTGACTATATTTAAGATGTTTTTGAGTTCCTCAAAAGTAATTTTTTTATTGTTTTGCTTGCTTCTGGATGATGCAATTTTCCTATTCTCAGTTTATTGGGTTGTGAGGTAATCTGTATTTATTTCAGTTAATGTTTAAAGTATCTACCCCTTAGCTTCTACATCGTTTTCCTTATAAAGATGTTAAGTGATGCTCATTAGACAAAACTAATTAGACTACTAATATGTGGTCTCTTCATGTGTAAAATAATTATGGAAAAGTTATTTTTGAAAATAATGATACTTTACAATATAGCAGAAGGTACAGAATGTGTCATTATTGATCAGTCTTGGGGTGGGTTGTTTGGTCTTTCATTGTTATGAAAGTTCTTTGTACCTTTGAGAGTTTATCTGTGGGTTTAACTCTATAATATCAGCTCCCTCTATGAGCACAGCATACCTACAAAATGTTGCTAAATTCATTATAATAGTTTAGTGGTTTGGTTTTGTTCAAGGCTTTTCTCATCCTATGTCATGCTATAGCTTGGATGAAAAGGGGGATTATTTTGATTTGTCTTTCAATGTAATTTAATACAGATAGTAATAACTGTAAACCAGATGTTCTCTTATCTTACAAATACTTTTGATATTAATGATAAGACATATTCCAGTGAAATTTTAATGGAAGTGTTCTTAAAATAATGAGGCTGGATACTTTTATTAGGATGTTTTGCTGTATATTACTATCTTTGTCTAAAAAAAAAGTTAGAAAATTATTTTGCATAATGAAGAAATATCATTTGTAAATAAGAAATATTTTCAATTCCCTTTCCACCTCTATTTTGTAAGGAATGTCTCACAGATTCTGTTATACTTCTAGAATAATCTTTCAGTCCTGCTTTCTGTCATTTTTTGGATACACATTGGTATATTGAGTTGGAAAGCACTTGTCTACAAAACCACTTTTAACTGCATATTATGCCTGCTGTATTATATTTTTATGACAATGCCCACAGCACAAAAAAAGGGAGGAAAAAAGAGAAACAAAATTAAAAACACCCCACACACTGCCACCAAATTACCCTTTTTACTAGGTTTTTTTCTATTTATTCAGACATTTCATAGTCAAATGGTTTCTTTTGGTCAAGTGCCCGTATAATTGAGTTTAGAGTGTTTGAGCACACTGACCTATAATGGTTATACAGAAACAGAGGAGAGAGGCATTTTCTCTCATGAATAGATTCTGTAACAACAGTGTGATCAATCTCTGAAATGTAAATATCTTCACTCTAAATATTCCTCACTACAAGTGAGACACCTTTATCATCTCAATTTAAAGTTTTTAAAACGTTTCTCTTTGTAATATTATTTCCTCAACATAAATAATTCCAGTTGCATAGGCATCCTATATCTCAGAAGGCATTTCCCAAGCAGGCATCTCTTTCTAAACACAGAACTCAATTGTAACAGAGAGAGCTGTAGCATAGTTTTATTAATGACCTTGGCAGCAACCTGTGTACAGCCTTTATTTATTCCATTTCACATTCAGTTTTCACACTCCCATTCTCTGTGATATTGCTGCTCTTTGATCCTTCACTGATTCTGTTGGGAACTGGGGATTTGCACCTTAAGATGTTCACTGTAGCACCTTGTAGCACTCAGCTGACTCCAACCTGTCCTTCACTGTCAAGTTCCCCATCTGTTTCCATCTGTATTTGTTTGGGTAGCTCAGATTAGGCATTTTCAGTGTTATTTATTCCCAGTTTGTGATAATATAAATGTGAAACCAGCGGCTTTATGTAGTTTAACTTTGTTGATGCCTTTGGCCATACTGCAAATGCCCTGTCTGACCATACAGCTCTTGGCAGTGGTACAGAACAAAAGCTCCTGGTACCAAATTATTTGTAAAGGTACAAACTACTGTGCATCAAGTTGAACCAGGAGTCAGTTCCCATGCCAGGTACTGAGCAGTCTGAATTTCAGTGTCCTAATACCAGAAAATGCTTATTAAGAACATTTTATGTTCTTAATATTATGTTATATAATAACATATTATGTTATTAAGAACAATTTCTGTCTGAAGACAATTGAAACTGGTTAAGACCTGCTCATTTCCCGTGTTCCTACATGAACAGTTGTCCATGTCTCAACCCCATCATTATTCATGTGCCTGCTCATGGCCAGTTTTGTGTGTCAAACTTCCATGCAGAAAACACAACTTTCCCCTGGGCTTTATTTTTTTTCTTATTCTGTCTGCCCAAGACAAGTCTGTAGTAGTTTGCTGGGCAATTGTTTTACCTCAAAGTTTAGAAGGAAATGACAACCATCCTGCCAGCTTCAGTCTCTTTGAAGTTTATTGGAGACAGCAAGCATTTGGAAAATATCAAAATGAAGTGGCAACTAATGATGTTTTTATGAGACTTCTATCAAATGCCTCAAATGTAGTTCAGTATTGCTGATTTTTACAGTTAAAATGCCAAGATAGGTAAAGAACTGCAATATTTTTTCCTTAGTTTATTCCCTCTGGTTATTGCATATAAACCTGGAGGATTTGTTTCTTTACCAGCTCTTGTGATGTCATACCTGCTATAAGATTTTGGAGAACATAATTGCACATTATACACAATTTTCTCACGAGCTTATGGTGATTCTTTTTCTAGTCTCACTATCTTATATTTTTTAAACTGTTTTAAGACAGATTTATCACGATTCTTATATACAGTGGAAACATTTGAAATCTTAAATATAAGGATTTAAGTACAGAGTTCAGATTTGTCCAACTCTCAAATAAATCTTTCCCTTTCAAAAATGTAGCATTAAATGCATATTGCCTCTCATAACGAGTTTTAATCACATGGGCTGAATCCCAAGCAACAATGATGCAAAATTTCAGTAAGAAATATAAAGACTTTATTTCATGGTTGTCATATGCCATCAGCTTGGAGTCCAGTAGAATATTCTAAATATAAAGATATATAGTGTTTCTCTCCAAGAATGGATATACTTATTTTGCAGCTGTAGGTTGAAAACTGATATTTTTAAAAAACAAATTCCCTAAGTAGTATCTTAGTAAGGTAGGCTGTCAGTGCAAGTATTTTTATCTTATATAATTGCTAAAAAGAGATCTGAAAAAAAAAGTAACAGATGTATCTTTTGAAAGATTAAAGTCGTGTTCCCTGTGACTTAGAATGTGCTCAAGTGGTGGTAAGCAGGTGGAAAAGTCAGTTGAGTTCAGCTATAAAGTATGTTGTTGTGAACCATAATGTGTGTAATTAATTGGTAATTGGGGTTCCTTTGCAGTGAGGAAACTTAACTGTGTATTTGCCATATTTATTTAAGTAAACAAACTTATTTCAATAAACATGCAAAATTCTAAATTATAATGCAATTTAGCTATTGTGTGACAGTTTTTGAATTAACTAGCAATAATAATCAATATATACAAATAAATCATAATGTTTGTAAAGACTATCTGTGCCTTCCCTTTTGTAGAGTTTGAGTTAAGCACCTTCATAACCCATCGTACCAAAAATGAAATTAGTGTCCAGAAAAAAGTTCAAGCTTAATATGAAACCCAGTGAAGAGATTTATCTGAGTGTTGGGTTGTGCTGGAATAGACCTAGGAGCAAAGAGAGGAAAAAAACATTCTTTTGCAGTGATCTGCAAAGGTAAAAGAGTCAAAAGCATCTCCAGCAAAGCTGGCTGGGTGTCTCCTGTAAGAACAGCACTGGTTTTGTTCTGGAATATTTTGTATCTTTCCAAACCTTCTTTTAGTATAGAACAGTGTCAGCCACTAAGCATCCTAAACTCTAAACTTGCTCTCTAAATTTTGCAATTTGTTAAATTCTTAGAAAGGCATCAGGTAGCAGGAGTTCTTAGAACTGTGTGAGGGTAACACTCTATTGTACCTCCCTAAAGATAGCTTACATTGAAATTCATAAATAATTCAAAAATACTTAGAAAAAACATGATTCATTGCACAATATGCAACAGAGGCAGATGAAAAGTGACTACTTGCTGCCGTTTCCATACAGAGAATTTGAGCTTCTGTAGTAAACTTAATCATATTTACAGCAGGATGAATAAGCAATTGAATTTCATTCAGGTATTTGTTTCTGGTTTTGATGGATTTGCTGAGTCTGCATCCATGGACTCCTTGTGTTTGCTTGTATGCACAGAGAGTGTTCAAAATCCTAATGAAAGAAATATTTCCCTATTGATATTCACACAAGGAAATTACAGCAGAATAGCTGCGTGCTTATCCAGGCACCTGCCTCCTGGAGCACATATTCTGAATATAAATAGTATTTAGGGCTCCTGTCCCTTTAGGACAACTCTTGATGCTTTTACTCCCATGCCTGCTTACACACACAGAGACACACACATATTTATATTTTTGCAAATACATATCTAGTTATAAAGTTCAAAATTTAAAATTATAGGATGTTATATACTTTTGATTAAGCCTTTTGTTTTATTATTCAAGCATTTTAGAAAAGGACTCTGGAATGAAGATTGCAGTGGTAAAAACAGGAACTGAAGACACAAAGCTCTAGTTTTAAACTAAAAATGCGCTCAGAATGTTGTAAGAGCCATGGCAGAGTTGTGCTGACTCCTTCCATGAGGCTTCTTGTTGATTTTGTAGAATCACAGATGTCATTTGTGTAGCTCTTGAGAAGATGCTGGTGGTCACTTTAAAAGGTTACTTTGTTAAGGTTACTGTGTTAATAGATGACATCTATTAACTTTATACCATCTTAATTGGATCCTTTTAGATGTTCAGCCAACTGGTCAGGCACACAGTGTGAGAGGCCAGCTCCCAAAAGCAGCAAGTCAGACAATATCAGTACAAGTAAGTCCTTCAGTTAACTGCTATTACTTGTCAAATGTGCCTCTGTTTAGAAATCTAAAGCTGGTGATACTATAGAATGTGATTTCGTGTTGTGAAATATGCTGGTTACCTGCGTCTTTTTCTTTAAAAAAACCCCCAAATGTAGGTATTTCTTGACTTTTTATCCTCACTGAGTGTTACATGAGGTGGTTTGGATGCAGACCATGCTGTACACTCACTGCTCCAAGGGCTACCTGCACTTTTCTTAAAGAAAATGTATCAAGTGACAAGCATTTGGCCATATAAACACAGTGCAGAGAACTAGTGTGAGACCTCTGACCATTTAAGTCCTACTGAAAGCATAAAAAATAGAGTTGTAAGTGGTGCATAACTTTTGTACTGGCTGTCTGCAGAGGTTTGAATTTTACCTACTCTGATAATCATCCTGAAAGTAAGAATAGCTCCTGTCGTATTTTTTTAAACACATCTGTGAGCATAAAAGGAAGGTATTGCTACACTATTGGCAGTTTAAACTGGACAAAGCTCCCTGCAGAGTGTTGAGTATGCTGATAGTACCCTGCTGTATGTGCCTCCATCACTTTTAGCCCAAGTGGAGCAGTAAAATGAGTTACCCAGTATTCAGGTCAGCTTGATGCTTAGATGAAATCTTTCCAGCGATCCAGACAAGTGAAAGAACACTTAAAACTGGAAATAGGCAAAAAAGCAGCCAGAACCTAGATCAGTATTTCATGCTGAGGGAATACCTGCTCTAATTTGGGAAATGACTTCTCTTAGACCCCAGCCTGCACCATGGTTACCAAACAGCAATTCATGCCTGGTAGGCTGTTTTTAAGGTTTTTTTTTCTTGGAAGTTTACATGCCAAGACAAAATTAACCTATATTTCTTTTGATTTTGTTTGTTTTTTTATTTTGGGGTGTTCCTAAGTAGAACTTAATCCAACTATTTATCAAATGTTTTCTTAAAATGCCCTTGTTGTAATGTCCTTTACATGCTGAATCTTCGTAAGCTGAAGTGAACTCAGGATGCTTCAAGTTTTTTATTCAGTAGTACTTCATTTTGTGTCTCTGACAACCTGACTTGGCTTTCAGTAAGCCTTCAGGCAGAATTCAAGGCATTTTTCAATTCTTTATTTAGACTATGTTTAATGTAGAGCAGAGACTGCCAAGAGCTTATTTTTTTTAATAAACCAGTAAATGGAGCCAATGAAACAACCAGCAATATTTTTGTTTTCCACCAGTTAAGGGTTGTGATATTAAACATGCCATTCCACACTGGCTCTACGCTGGAGTCCTATAGTTTATAAGGGCCAGATTATTTATAACATAAAATTATTTGTTGCATGTATTTCTTTATTACCATGTACTTACAGTAAGGCTGAGAAATTCTTTAAAGGGCACAATTACTGACTCTATTTTTGCAGGTAGTCTCATTTCAGTGAAATTATCTGCCAAAATAATGTTAAGCCCATTTACTTCTCCCCTGTTCCCACCTCGCCTTTAACATCCCTGTCTGATCTGGGCACTGTTTTTCTGCTGCATTAAGCATTATTGTTATAAGCACATAGTTTTTGTCATTGCCTGTATCAACATAAAATTGTTGGCTCTCAAGTGCAATGCAGTAAAACGCAGGAATGCAGCAACCATTTAGAAATTAATATTGTTCACTACTTTTTGGTTTTCCACAAATAAAAGTAGTAAATACATATAAATGCTAATGAATTCTTTAATCAAAACCAAGTCAACTGAATATTTTAAATTAATAGCTCTATGACATAAACTGCTGAAGATGATGGTGGCAGTCAGAGGCCACTCCAGTCCAAACTGTTCAGCAATTCCACATATTTTCACAGGGTATTGCTGCAAATGAGGGCAGGGAATTAGTTCAAAGTATATTGGTATCCAGAAAGAGGAAATTCCTGATTTGTTTATAAAAGTACTTGTGTGTACACTATTATCTGTAATAAGGTTGCTTTTTTTAATTGATCAGCATTAAAATCTCAAATCAGTGAAGCTTATCACATGAAATTGCATTTGTTGGTGCGGGAAATTATTCTTTTTTGATTAATTTAACTGTTTTACAGCTGTGAAGCCATGAGTATTCAATTATGTTTCCCTTCTATTTTAGGAAGCATAGCAATCATTGTTCCTCTTGTTTTACTGGTGACTTTGATCACTACTCTGGTAATTGGACTATTTCTTTGCAAAAGAAAAAGAAGGTGAGTAATTTTATATTGATATATGAGGTAAAAAATAAATCTTTAAAGTATGTACATCTTTTTGATATACAAAAAATCACTTTATATATGTTGAGTAGATATTAAAAATACAAAACTAAACCAACCAACCAAACAAAAAACCACAAAAAAACCACACAACAAATGATCCAAAACCTGTTTCTCGATGCAGTGAATTGAATTAGTTATATTTTGGTTCTTGCTGGAACAACCACGTCTATTATTTATACTTATATTCACATACATTAGAAAAAAAAAATTGCAGTTCTTATCCACCTTGCTCCATCCTGCCAAGACTGTTAATAACATGTGTTAATAACTTTATCCAGAGACTTAGAGAACTTAATAAATAGAATTAATGTATTTCATTGAAACCACATAATTAATATTGTTCAAGTTATAGTGAAGATGGAAACAATGATGAAAGTGTTTACTGTAGAGTCCCAAGCCTTGTTGCCATTACTGTGTTCCTTTAGTATCTTGCATGGGAAGCCAAATTCCAGCATTGATTTTGTTCCCTTGAATTTAGCTACCTTAGAGCTGATGATGAACTTGGGCAGTTGAATTAGACTTTTTGATTTTGGCCATTTCTTCAAAGGCCATGTTGGGTGGCCAGGGAGGCAGGGAGTGTTTCTGCTGCATGAACACACCTGAGAGAGCTGCTAATTTTTTCGTGTTCAGAGAAACAAGAATCTGATGTTGATGGTGATGCAGATTTAACAAGGAAAGATTCCTAGTAATAAGGACATGGCCCACTAGGGAAGTCCTGAGCTGGAATCAGACAGCAAACCATTTATTTCAGGCCTGTAGCTGTCCTGCTCATTGGCCTTGAGCAGCTGTCTTCCTTTCTCCTGGGGCTTGTTACCCCGCCTTTGAAACCAAGATAATTTCTTGTTGTTAAGTCCTTTAGAAATATGTGATGAATCTCCTGTTTCTGCAAATGTGACCATTTACGTGGCTGTTTCAGTCCTTCAGGCTAAAAGAATCTTTTAAGTTGCTATGATCTGGCATCTCCCCTGCAAACTCTGGTGTAAACTAGTAAGCATTAATTTTTAAAACCTTTTTATAAAGCCAACAAGATAAATACATTCCCTGTCCATACTGGTATTAATGCTGACCCTGCCAGGCTCTATGGATGTCATTATGTGCTGCTGTACCTAAAACACAAACTTTAGCGATAGCTAAATCCTGAAAACCAGTTGCTGGCCTGTAAATTATTTAAGTTATTGAGAATTACTTGTTAAATAATAGATTTTCACTAGAGAAATAGAACTAGCCTCAATAAAGAATTTTCTTCTTAAAATTATCTTTGAAAATATATTTTAGGGTTATTTTATCTCCTCAAAGAAGACTGTTAAGTGCTAAGGTAGGTGTAGTGGTTCAGCACTTGTAAGCTACAGTAAAGTGCTTATTTTAGAAAATATTTTGTTCTATGCTATTTCTTAAAAATACAGACCATTTAGTATATTGGATTTCAAACACTGACTGCAGCTTTTTCAACCAACAAGAGGACTCTACTGTTGTCATCCTGACTGTGACCTCCCTATTATTCCGTTGTAATTCTAGAGAACATATTGCATTTGGAAAAAATTACCCTCTTGAGTTTATTTCTATTGCTCAGACTGAAATCACCTCCTTAGCTAAAAGAAATGAATTCAGCAACTGAAACAATTCAACTTAATCACTTATCTTTACTGGTACCTAGTTCAAGGTTAAAAATAAGACTGTCTTTTACCAAAGCTTGAAAAAAAATGAAGTTGAACTTCAGCTTTCCAATAACCACTGGCAGGGAATACAAACTGGAGCTGTGAGAAGTTCATACATTTTTAATGCATTGTAATGAAACCATTTGCTTGTCCTCAGTTTACAACTGACTTTGGGCAACCGATTTGAGACAGAAGTGAAGTGGATGAGGGAGGGAACATGACTCAGGTTCACTCCATCTTCATTCCTGCAGGGAATCTGCAATGAGTTCTAAAGGCTTTCCTTGGGAAGTGAAGGAAATCTGGAGATAGATAATCAGAGGAAATCAGGGTTATTAGACAACGAGTTAGCACTTTGTATGATTTCACACTACTACAGTCAAACTGAGAGAAACAGTAACATTCTACCTCTGGCTTCTGGGAGGTAGATAGACTGTACATAGACTCAGATTGTTACTTTGCTTGGAAAATGGAAGGATTTGCTGATTGTCTCTGCAGGAAACACTTTTTCATCCTGTTTCTTTTAGATATTAAACATAATATCAAAAAAAAATTACTGGAAAACTCTCTAGCTTCTCTTTTTCTGTGTTTATGCATTGTAGGACAAAAACTATCAGAAGACAACCCATGATAAATGGAGGAATCAATGTAGAAATCGGCAATCCATCCTATAACATGTATGAGGTGGGCCATGACCACAGTGAAGGTGGTCTTTTAGCCTCAGATTTTACTGTAAATGCAGAAAAGGTAATTTTTTCTTTTTCTAGTGGCAAAAGCACTACTTATTTTATGTCTTACAAAGGCTTTGACTTTAAATGTAATTAATAGAAGCATAGAACAATGACATTTAGATTTAGTTAATGAATATTAAAGCAAGTTGGATTTCATTAGAGTAAATGTCATGTATATATTAACAGCTGGTTTGTAGTCTGATTCTTGCTGATGATCATTTTTCCTAGTACCTGTATTTTACCAAGACAGTGTTAGAACTGAACTTTTTTGTCATAGACACATCAACCTTAAGTTGCCAAACAACAGTCTATCTTTTTAGCCTAGTGGCAAATATTGAATGGAAATATATTATTTTACAGTATATGTTTGAAGCATCAAAGAGTGTATGCATACGTATGAGACTAATTTATTTCACACCTGAAAACTTCCAAAGGCATAAAGAATTGGGATTCCTGGCAGGATAGATAGATTAAATGTTTACACAAAGCTAGTAAGTATTATCATTTCCTTGTATAAGATGCTGTCACTTCTGCAGCACCACTCTGCAGTGATTGAGCTCCCTGAGTGATGTGACACGGGATGAATGGGGTAATGCTGCCATATCTTTCCTTGAGCTCCATAATCAGACATACACCAAAGGGCAACCATCCCTCTGTGGCATTTCTGACAAAGCAATAACAGGATTACTGGTAGCTCTAGGAATGTCATTGCTGAATCACATAGTCAGGGTGCTGAATACAAGAGGTAAGCTGAAAATGGAGTTACTGGAGGCAGAATGACTGAGCCAGTGCTTATTGTGAAGTCTGGCTCTAATCCTTAGTGGAAAATAACTGCAAAATGCTGAATTTTATTTTTCATGCTGAGGGATACCTGCAAGAAGATTTTCTTAAATGTAGATCAGTCTAAAATATTGTCTTTAATTGCTGCACTGTTTACTTAACAGTGTTGATAATTACACATGGAAAATACTCTGCTAGCACAGAAACTAAAATTTTCTGTTTATACAGGCCAGATACATAGGGGGAGGGCCCACTGCATTCAAGCTTCCCCACACAGCTCCATCAATCTACCTAAACTCTGACTTGAAAGGACCACTATCAACAGGGGTGAGAAATGATGATTCAAATCCATTTCATTCCACATCAGCCCCTTTCTAAAGAAAGTTTGTCTGTCATTTTTGATTAGAGGCATTTTATGTTTGTTTTTAATTTTGGGTTTTTTTCATTTAATGGAAAGAAGAACAACAGTAAATAATACATTTTTCTGTTTGAAATAAAGGGTCCCTCCCTGCATACAAAATTTCACCTGTACCCATCATTGTAACATGATCTAAAACTGCAAGTCTGTCTTTGCAAAGGAATGAAAAACCAGTAAACACTGTGATGCTTTTCCATAACATTATATAAGTTTAGAATGGCATTCACAGCCATGTATCTTGATGTATTTGCAGTTCTTATGTAATTACAGGCATTTATCAAGTTTATCAAACTGAAATATGATCCCAAAGAATGGAAAAAAGTGCTTTTATTTGAGGACTTTGACGCACACCAAAATTAACAATTTCCTTTATTATTTGCAGTGGTTTTTTTGATTGTTCAGTTTTCAATGGATTTGTATCATAAACCAGTTCCTTCTAAAACATTAGATTTTTTTACTACATTTTAGCATTATGTTTGCAAACACTGAAATTCAAACTACAAAAAGACGTCAACATTCATTTTCATGTGCCTCAAAATATATTCATCTTTTGTGCCATTTACGTTCTTGCATGATTGTAATATGTTGTATTTGGTAGCTTAACAATTTTTGTAGGGTGTGATTTTTCTGATGGAGCACAGAACCATGGATGATGAAAGCTGGAATATTTGCCCATCTGTAACATTAACTCTTTCTTGTAAATTCTAGTCACTCCAGTTTCTTTCTGTACCTCACTGTACTGCATTATGCTATCAGTAGCCACTCAAAGAGGTATCATGAGGCAGAGATTATTATTATATATAATTTTAATAACTCCATAAGGCACTATATAGATGCCAGATGTCTGTTCTGTTGTGCTTTTCATCCTTAATAATGGTTGTCAATGAGATAAAAAGTCCTGATGATTGAAATAGAACTAAATTTCTGTTCTCCTAAATTTCTGACTGTAATCCTGGGCTGAGAAATAGTGTTGATCAACAGGGAAAAGAACTAAGACTCTAGACATCTTTCATTCCTTGTTTCCCACGGTGTACTCAGGCTATTTGCAAGTCAAGAAAACCTACCCATTTTTGCTTTGGGTAATTTAAAGTTTAGCCATTTCTTATGTACACCAAACAAATTAATTTCCCTATTTTAGGGCTTGCTGGTGTACGACTGAGTATTTGTGAAAGCACAGCTGTGCTGTCCCACTAGTTATAAGGAAGAGGAAGATCTTGACCACAAGACACCCTTTCCAGTTATTATAGGAAAAAGCTGAACATCGACTTGGATATAGCAAATGTTTTCTAAGGACAATAAAGGCACAAAGTGTGAAGGAAGTAGTAGAGACATGACAGACCTTGGATAATGTTCTCTCCTTAGCATGAGTGACAGGAGAGAAAGTTTTCCTCCATGTTATACATCCTTCTGTGCTGTCAGGCTCAGGAGATTTCTCGCACACTGAAGTGTTTTGCACCATTAAAAATGGACTTGTCCTGTACTGAAGTACCATTCATTTCAATAGATGTTTTTCATTACAGTCCAAACTACCAAAATTGTTGAGAAAAGATTTCTCAATCTGTAACTACTATGATATATTAGCACTTATGATGATTTATTATTAAAGTTTAATTTACATTACGCAAGTATTGAATTTTTTGGTCAAATCATGTTGTGTATTTGGGCCACAGAATTCGAAAACATGGTCAGCTATTGATGGGATGCTGATGTCTTAGAACAGGTAATATATGGAAACTGTTGGCTGCAGTTTTCTACTGTTAAACTTGTCACATGGTCTCACAGTGCACTTTCTCTATAAACTCCTTCATATCTATTCTGAAATCTTCTAGTGTAATAAGGTGGACAAGTCAACCTCAGAGACATTTTTTTCAAGGTTTTTGTTTAATTTTTGTCATTGTTTTTTTGGTTTTAATATCATAATATGCTGCATGTCATGTCATTTGTTATTTTAATAGCATGTCTCATCATGAATTTAATTTTTAACTAAATAATTAACTCATTATCAGGTTTTCAGATGTCCAGGTATCTATTAAATATGTCCTGTGTACTTGTTGTTGCTTTAACAAAACCATTTCCATTTCCATAAATGTTAATTTTGGTTTAATCTGGCTGATCTAATGTTTTATTAATTTCTCTGCAGCCAACAAATTACGCCAATCCAGTATATGCAAAGTTATACGTGGATGGACAAAACTGTCGAAACTCCTTAGCAAGTGTTGATGAAAGAAGAGAACTTCTTCCAAAGAAAATAGATATTGGGATAAGGGAGACTGTGGCATAATCTGCTGTTACCTTTTATACTCTGTATAAATGTATAAAATATAAGGATTACTTTTCTATGTACCAACAGTATTATAATTGTTTTGGCATCAGCATTACCTCTGTTTTTTGTTTGGTTGATTGTTTTCTGGGTTTTTCTTTTGCTGATGACTTTTGACTGACCATTTGTAAGGTATTTTTATGAAAAAGAAACTGCACTACGGTACAATTTACAACAATGCTGCTGAAATAACACACCTTTAAATTTGTTAAAATGGCAAACAACGTATTCGTTTGTAGCGTGAAAATGAGCAATCTATTTTCTATGAACTTTTTTGGTTCTACTTAATCAATGAAGATGGTATCTGCACTTTTTCATTATGTAGTCTGGAAGCTGTAGTACAGTGTGTAACTTTGTTTATTTTAAATGGTGAAAGAATGATTGAATGGTCTACTCTCTTCTTTGTGCCCATTAGAATTTCTCTTCAGATCCTGATGAAGCTAGATAACTTTTCACAAACATACATAACTTGCTTTTAAATTAGCTTTAGGTTGCCAAGAAGTAAACAAGACTATAGAAATGAGACATCTAATGATCTGCATGAACACAATGATTATGTTTCAGAAATTCAGTGACTGTACATGATATACTAAACATATATACCATGTAAACAAGCTTTGTATTTATTAAAACCTTATAGAACATAGTAAAGATATATCTTGGAAGCTGAAACCTTACTTGCTGTGGGACAAAGCATCTGAACTCCAACAGTCCTGTAGGACAGTAGCCACCCTAGAGCACAAGAGGGCATTGCCTACACATGTGTTATGTTTTTTCACTTAATCACACGCATTACTTACGGATTAATAATTCCCCAACACGTACCGAGCAGTAGGGAAAAAACCAAACCCCAAACCTTAAGCACACTCAGATGATCACAGCATTTGGTTTTGACAATCACAAAAAAAAAAAACCCCTCACGCCTGTTTAGTGATATTAAAGAATTCAAAACACAGCAGTTTCTTTAAATTAAGATAAACTCTGGTATTGTGGAGGTAAAATGAACCAAACTGCATATTAGTGAAACCTTACCAAAGCCCAAGTTTCAGTAGCCTGGGTTAAATGTCAAAATCCAATTATCAAAAGTGAAAAGCATCAGTATCAGTTTCCAGCACTTCTCTGACCGGGTCTGCTTTCTGTTGTTGCTAAGAGGCAAAATCTGACTCACCTTTTTTAATTTTGATGGAAATAAAGAATACAATTGCTTTCAGGTTTGAACTGAATCGAAATATTTTATACATAACTTTAAAGGCACAAAAGACGTATTCACACATATACTGTGGAGGATTCTTCCTTCCTCTGCTAGACATGACTGACTTTTAGCTATCATAATATATTAACCTAACAGATTAAATATGTTTGTGGTTGCTCTTTATTCCCTTTGTACAAGCATTACAAAAATAACTGCTGTTTTATAAAAGATTTTTGTTGTACTATTGTGCATGCATACTACCTATTTCTAAACTTTGCCATATTGGGGCCTTTATAAAACTCTTGATTTATGTAATACTAGTGCAATTTTGCTTGAACAATGTTATGCATATCATAAACTTTTTCAGGTTCTTGTTTAAGTACATTTTTTTAAATTGAACAGTATTTTTCATTTTGGTTATAATAGTCATTTTGCCTATGTTTCTACAATGAAGTGTTAAATACTTTATAAAAAAAATTGTTGACTGATTTATTTAAATGAAAATCTACATACTTAATTCAGTGTGTTGACTAATTTTTAAATTTAACTTATAAAATGAAAGCCGAAGAAAGAGCAAATTGAAGCAAAAGAACATTACTTTGTACAAATGGCTAAATCCCTTTTCTTAATGACAATTTTTGCTTTTTATACAAATTCTGTTTGAATGTGTTTGCAGCTCTGCACGTGTTTGGATAACTTAGGTGTATAGCTGTACATTATGTCAATAGAATTTTAAAACTATTATTTTTTCTATAAAAATACTGTATTAAATAGTTTCATACCACACAGCTATGATTCCACAGGTTCTGCCTTTGTTCTGCTGACATCATCAGAGATGGATTAGGCCCTCATTTTTTTCTATAATTAAAGTTGTTATTTGGTGTAAGTAGTTGGACATTTCAGAAACATTATTACTGTTTATTTTCTGGCAGAGAATCTCTTATCTTCAGTACTCAGGTAGAACTAAATTTTAACTAGTGGGTGTACAAGTAACATGAGATTGAAATCATGAACTCATATGGGCCTGATGAAATTTACTTTCTGTGATGTCTCGTGTTTCCTTTCAGTGAGACATTTTTTATTTACTTTACCCTTGCTTGAGACTAAATTATTTTAAAAAAATTAATTTCCTGAGAAATACACAGTTGATGTCAGTGGAGCTATTAGATATTAGTTATTAGATCAGAATACAGTTGTAACTATGTAGCAGAATTTTGATGGAGATATTGAGCTCTACCACTGCCGTACTTGAAGATCTTTACACATCAGTGTAATAATCCCCAATGGATTTTTTGTTTGTTTTTTTTTTTTTACTTTAACAAGGTTCTCCACAGGAATTGTTTCCACAATCCTTTAACAGTCCTAGAATCCACAGACCCTGGTGCTGTGCAGAACACACAAGGAGCTGAAGGGTGAAAGACTGAGACCTGATCAATAACCTATATGTGCATCCTCCTAAGTTCAGTAAAATATTTTTGAGCATGAAATTCTATAAAATTTTACAAGTAACAAAACCAATGTTTTTAACTTTCCACATATCCACAGCCTTCTTGGTATTATTAATGCCACATTATTTGTGTTTTAAGTTGACACAAAATTAGAAGGAAAAAAAAAACTGGCTAAATATGCCTGCATCACTGATTTAGGCATCCGTCTCTTCAGGGTGTAGTTGTAAGAGTTTTTCTGGTTGCTTTCCTGTGAAAGCATTGAGTACTAACAGTCATGTGAAATGCTAGTACTGTTCTATGTCACAGTATTCATCAGGGTAAAATTTTTCTTCTGCAGTACTGATGATTTTTCTTAGCAGTGTGAAGCAGTTTGTGGGTTCAGGGAAATGAAACTTCTGATAAATCTAACCCTGAAATGCACTGTTCATTGACCTTTTAGTCTTAGGCTAAGCAATAGCCACACTTTTATTGAACAGAAAACAAAAATACATGTAACCTTGAAGGGAGACATGATGTGCTCCATCACAAACCAGGTTCTAAAGTTCTTTGCTGAATGGAGAATCTCTATGCAAACCTATAAAAAAAATCAAAAAGCTTTTGTGCTAAACTTTTATTAATTCTGTCTAATGGATCTTTTTTTTTTTCCCACAGAGGTTATAGTAGTTATTTACATACCAGCACTCTGGAGTCTCTGCCTTGTGATAGGCCTCTTGGTCTGTGCAAGTGTTTGCATAAACACTAAATTATGACAACCAAAGTTCAAAATGACAAATCGAGATGGATGATGCTCTTGGTACTCTGATTATTCATTCTACACAACTGAGATTACTATCATGAATGCAGTCCTGGGAAGCTCATATGAGAATATTTATTTTGCTGTGCATTTTTTAATTGTTTTTTTTCATTTCCAAGATAGTCATGATGTTTGATGTTTGCAGAAGGAAAGCTCTGTAGTGCAATGCCTTTAAAACTTCTACCTAAGTTTATTTTCTAGCTGTTAGATTGTGCAGAATGTCCTAATATAACAGCAATTATTTTGTTTTTATCAACTCTTAGTGGCCAGAATCAGTGCAGTCACATGCATTAATGGAATTTTGTGTAAACACATTTCAGAACGTTTGTTTCACATGAAAGTGCATAATATATCCTAATAGAACCAAGTACCTTCTCATGCATCCCCCCTTTTTGGAGGATGAATAGATGATATAGGACAGCAATGTCAGTGGTGATAAAAGGTCTTCAAGGTAGTTGCCCTTAAGAATAAAGACACTTTTCATGTGGAACAAGCAGACCAACAGTGAATCTTGTCTGTCTAGTCCTGGGCATCTCTGCAAAAGTGTTGAGGCATTTGGAATTTTCCAAGTCTTAGATGGGCAGAAGGATGGCTGATGGAGAAAATGATAATTTATCAACCTGATTCAATAATTTATTGTGCTTACCATCTCCTCATATGAAATACAGATCTCATGAAAGTAATGGTTTCTAATTTAATGCCCATATTGTAAGGTGACAAAAAGGAGGAAAAAAGCATAAAACACCTTTTGGCTTCCCTATGCCAGCTGCACATCATTTAGTACATGTTCTGCCTCTCATGACCTCTGACAGTGGCCTTCAAAGAAGTGCTTGTGTAGAGGGAACTGTCTGCTGGCCTCAAAAGAATGTTAAATGAGTTTTTCCTGGAAAGAAGATGATACTACTATCCTCCCCACCTGCTACAAAACCTAATAATGATCCATTTTCAGGAAAGAAAAAACCCAAACAGACACACCCCCCCACCCTGTCCAAAAAAAATATTTTTTGAAAGTATCAAGATATGTACCTATACACAATGTGTATAATATCAGAACTGAAAAGAAAGTCTGAAACTAACATGGAAACTCAAGGGAAATATTAATTGAGGATTACTGTAAAAGCTCTTTTAAAGCGTGTGTTCAACCTGGAGGGGGAAAAAAGGGTTATACAAGCTGGTCACTGAATTTTTCTTAAAATATTTCTTAGATAAACAATTTTGAGTGTTACAAGAGCTGGCACCACTAAAGATTTCAGAAAACAAACTTGAAAACAAGCTTTCTCATCCAACACTTTCTCACTCCTGTTTCATGTTGGTAATGCACAAACAGCAATCTCTTGTCACATAAGTAGGTGTTTGATGATTCATTAGTGATAAACAGAATAAGATAAGCATGTGTAGATTCACAAAAGCAATAACTGAAGAGATGACCTACTCAATAGATGAGTGTTAGGGCACCTCAATAGCTCAGGAGGTTGGATTGCACTTGAGCCTTTGGGGAGGGGTTTCCACCTCATTGACACACCTGGGTGTGCTGATGTTTTAATCTGGTGACCTGTGTGTGCTGCACAGCGAGCTCTGTAACCAGTGCTCAGGACAGGAGCCTCAGTGGTCTTGCTCTGTCCGAAGAGCAGCAGACAATGACAACACACAGTTTAATTCCATTGATGACTAAGGTTTGGACACCCCCTGCATGGCTAATAAGGTGTATCCTAGGTGGTGAAGTCCTGGTCTATTAGAAAAGCAGGAATGAAGCTTTTCTTTCATGGGTGCAGGAAGCATGGTCAGGTGCCCGTTCCTCTGACTGGAGGTTATGGGGTTCACTGTCACCTCAGAGATGGTTTCCCTGGATAATTGGCTGTGTCTGGGCTTGTATGTCAAACTTGAGCAAACCACGTCAGCTCCCATGGTGGTTAGAGCAGCTGTTTGGGGTTCCATTCACACCACTAACAGGTCTTACTCCCACCAGGAGGCTGCTTGTCCCCGTCACTCAGCTGAGCAGCCTGCACCTGCCCCAGAGAAATGGATACAGACTGGATAAACTCCCTGGTTTTCCTCTGGGGTGTGCTGCCTGTATTCAACTCCCAGCCACATCTTTCTGTGTTTCCCTGCCAAGAAATAGGGCATGGAAAACATTGTGACTTCATTTGAGAGCGAAAAAGAAGGTTTACTCCCCTTTTCCTTTCATGAAATCTCAAAAGATACAGTGAAAACTTAGACATGTCCTTATGGATGCTGTGCCTACAGTGTTTGCCTGTAGACATGCTTCCAGTGTGAGGGCACAAACAGGCCAAACCTAAAGAGAAGCAGTGCCAGGTAAGTGACCTTTCTTTCCAGAGGGGAATGATGCTGTTGTTCAGATGCATTGAGTGTGTCCTGCACTGGGTTTTGCAAGTCTCTGAACTGGTTTTCTGCCTGTGTGTCTGAGGGGACCTTGATAACTTAATGGAGAGAGTTTTTCCTGAGACACCACAGCACTCACTGTTGTGCAGTGTCTGACAGCAGCATGCTGATATCTCAGTCTGGGTGTCCTCTGAGGTTGGCAAATGGCACTGAACAGGTTGTAGGTGGCCCTTTTTACTGGGGTTTGTCCTTGGTGACTCATGTGACTCCCAAATTTCAAGCAGTGAAATTGTGCATGTATGAAGCACAGTGTTGGCATGTATGAAGCACAGCAAATAGCCCTTTGGAATTATACACTCCTGGATAATGATACACTGTCACTGTGAGCCCAAAAAAAACCCCAAAACAAAAAACAAACGAACAAAAAACAAAAACAAACAAACAAAAAAACCCACACAAAACAAAAAACTCAATCTCTCTTCTATCCCATCCAAAAATATGATGTGCATATCCTGCAGGTGTGTACGCTCATAAATGCTCAACTTTAAAAGTCTGATCTTATCTGCTGCTTTTCATGGTAAGAGGATTGTAGGATCCAGGTAGTTTTAAGGTACCCACTGCATCTTCCAGTGATCAGAGCCCATTCATTGAACTACTCTAAGCCATGAAATTATGCAATGCTGCAGGTCTGTCCTTACTGCAGGTGTCATACTACTCTAATTACACATCCTTGGTAGTCATTTGAACTTCTTTTAGGCAGTAAGACTCTACCAGGCTGGTGTGCAGCCCCTGCTTCCCCAGGCTGGAGATCCCATGGACCTTTGGTGCCCTTTCCACTGGCTGTGGTGAGCTAAGGAGGTACAAAAAAACCCCCATCTACCCTGTAGGGCTTTGTAGCTCAATAGACAGCCTGAAAATAGGTCTGTCATAAAGAGAGAGTGACCTTCTTGGGATTTGTCTGCATGTGCGTAATTGGGTTCAGACATTGTTCTGCTCTGATGTGTCTTATCTGACACTTTTCAGAAGATGTTAAGCCTTTGTGAAATACATGTGATGATTTTCTGCATATATTTAGCTATTTTAATCATCTTGAAATTCCTGAAGTCCAGGTAGTTCATTGCCCTGAACTGTATTTTAAAGTAAATTATTCTACAATTGTAGCTTTAGTTCAATTTTTTTTTAGTTTGTTTCCTACATTGCAGAGTCAGATATATTTTTCTCCTGTTCTTAATGAACATGAAGATAATAAAACATAATGTCTAATTTGAGATTGATATTATATATATACTACCACAGTTATGTCTGACA